AGAGCCATTCTCCAACTCCAAAGTCAGCTTTAAATTTTGATTGAACTGGGACTATTAAAAGACCAATAGTGTTAAATCTTTAAAGAAAAACAAAAACAAACATTTAGGAAGACATAAAATTTTTTAGATAACATACCCATATGCCATTTCACTCTGTTTCTTAGGATAGACGATTTGTCCCTTTTCTTCAGTTGTCTCATTTGTCCAGTGTTCTTCAAATTCCTTAACCTTCATTCTCCTAAAAAACAAAAACAAAAACCTTTCCTCAAGGTTTTTTGGGGATGTTCCCTTTTGACAAGTTATCTGATTAAATGAAAAGGCATGTGTTACTGGTGTAAGTTAGTTTAAATTGGATGTTTATGATAGTTGATGAACTATCACCTCCTCTAATTAAGAGGTCTCTCTTGTTCAAATCGAACCTTTATCAATTTTGATGGTACCCACAGCTTATCTTCTCCTGTAGAAATAAAAGCAAAACCTCGTCCCCAATGTAACACATATCCTGGTTTCCATTCTGAGGTCAGCACATCCTTAAAGTATATAGGCTGATTTAATTCTGTAATTTTTTCTATTATCCAATGTCTCTCTGCAGCTGTTGTTCCTTTCTCATTGGCATTGAGAAAATGCAAAGTTAATAGAGCATTATGTAGTCTATTTCTGGGGGTTTTTGTTACTCCTTTTTGTTTATTTAACATATCCTTTAGAGTTCTGTTTGATCTTTCTATAACTGCTTGACCTGTAGGATTTTGTGGTATACCTGTAACATGGTTTATATTGTAATAAGCAAAAAACTGTTTCATTTTAACAGAGACATATGATGGAGCATTATCAGTTTTGATTTCTGCAGGTATACCCATGATGGCCATAACTTCTAGCAAATGAACGATTACAGAATCAGCTTTTTCATAACTCAAAGCAGTTGCCCATTGAAATCCTGAATAAGTATCGATAGTGTGGTGTACATATTTCAATTTTCCAAATTCTGCAAAGTGAAACATGTCCATCTGCCAGATTTCATTCCTCTGAGTACCCTTTGGGTTACATCCTGCTGGTAATGGTGTTTGATTGTAGAAGGAACAAGTAGGACATTTCTTTACTATTTCTTTGGCTTGTTGCCAGGTTATGGAAAAATCCTTTTTTAAACCTTTACTATTTACAAGATGTTTTTTATGAAATTCTGAGGCCTCCAGCACATTTCCTATTAATAATTTATCAATCTCATCATTGCCTTGTGCTAGAGGGCCTGGCAGACCAGTATGGGATCGGATGTGAGTTATATATAAAGGATGACTTCTTTTTCTGATTGTATCTTGTAATTGAATAATTAATGAAGTTAATTCTGAAGCATCATGGTTAAATTCTGCAGTCTCAATATGTAATACTACTCTATCAGCATATTGAGAGTCAGTTACTGTTTAGAGGTTCTGAAAAATCCATTAATACCAACAGACTAGCATACAATTCTGATTTTTGAACTGAATTATAAGGACTTTGAACCACTTTACTTAAATTTTCTGATTTGTAACCTGCCTTTCCTTGTTTGTTGGCATCTGTATAAAATATACGAACTCCAGATATGGGTCTTTTCCCACACAATTTGAGGCAAGATCCAATCAGCTCTCTTTATAAGATCAATTCTATTGCTTTTGGGATATTTGCTGTTAATTTCTCCCAAAAAATTACTACAAGCTTTTTGCCAAGCTTCATTTTCTATCCATAATTTTTCAATGTGCTCCTGAGTTAAAGGTACAACAATTTCTGCAGGGTCTATTCCTGCTAATTGACGAAGTCTCAATTTTCCTTTGCAAATCAAGTCAGAGATTTTTTCCACATAAGTTTTTAATTTTTTATTTGGTTTATTTGGTAAAAATATCCATTCCAATATAATATCTTCCCTTTGCATTAATATTCCTGTTGGGGAATGCCTAGAAGTTAAAATAAACAAAATGCAATCCAGCTTTGAATCAATACGATCTATGTGCCCTTCATGTACTTCTTTTTCTACCAAGGCCAATTCTTTCTCAGCTTCAGGTGATAATTCTCTTGGACTATTCAAGTCCTTATCACCTTCTAAGGTTTTAAACAAATTATTCAGTTCATCATTTTTTACCCCAACAATAGTTCTTAGATGAGAAATGTCTCCAAATAATCTTTGAAAGTCATTAAGAGTCTGTAGTCCATCTCTCCTAATTTGCACCTTTTGAGGTCTAATTTTTTGAAGTTCTATTTTATATCCTAAATAATTAATAGAATCTCCTCTTTGTATATTTTCAGGAGCAATTTGTAATCCCCAGCAAGGCAAAATTTTCTTTACTTCTTCATACATTCTTTCTAAAGTATCTGCATTTGAGTCAGCTAATAAAATATCATCCATATAATGATAAATTATAGATTTAGGAAATTTTTTACGTACCACTTCTAATGGCTGTTTTACAAAATATTGGCACAAAGTTGGGCTATTCAACATCCCCTGTGGGAGAACCCTCCATTGAAATCTTTTAACCAGTTGAGAATTATTATAAGTAGGCACTGTGAAAGCAAATCTTTCTCTGCCTTTTTCTTGTAAGGGTATTGAAAAGAAACAGTCTTTTAAATCAATAACTATGAGAGGCCATCCTTTTGGTAACAGAGTAGGCAAAGGAATTCCAGATTGTAAAGAACCCATTGGCTGAATTACTTTGTTAATTGCTCTAAGGTCTCTTACCATTCTTCATTTACCAGATTTCTTTTTAATAACAAATACAGGATAATTCCAAGGGCTGGTTGATTCTTCAATATGATGAGCATTTAACTGTTCTTCCACCAGCTCTTGTAAAGCCTGGAGTTTCTCTGTTGTTAAAGGTCATTGCTGAACCCATACAGGCTTGTCTGTTGACCATTTTAAAGGTAGAGCTGTTGGTGTTTTTGGAAAATTATCAGTTGTTGTGCTGTGTTCTTGTATGACATGGATGGCTGGTGAGCACTCATTAGAATAATATCTTTTAATATTTCTCTCAGAAACATGTACTCATTTATGATTTGTTTCTGAGATTGGAGGGATATTAATCTGAGTATTCCATTGTTGTAACAAGTCTCAACCCCACAGGTTCATAGCTATGTTAGCCATATATGGTTTTAATTTTCCTTTCTGTCCTTCTGGACCTATACATTCAAGCCATCTTGCACTCTGTCTCACCTGAGATAATGTCCCAATTCCTAACAGTTGAACGTTTACCTCCTGAAGAGGCCAAGTTGGATTCCAAAATTCTGGTACAATTATGGTAATGTCAGCACCTGTGTCTACCAGACCAGACAACAAAACACCATTTATCTTTATTGTTAGTTTGGGTCTTTGTTCATTAATAGAAGTTTGCCAAAAAATTTTCTTTATGTTTTTTCCTGAATTTCCTATTTTCTCTGTTTCATCATCTCGACTAACATGATTTATTCCAATAGACATTTGGTTATTTAGTTGCTTTGAGTAGGGGTTTCCTCTACAATTGCAGGAAAGGTTTGAACTGGATTTACTGTGGGGGCCTGCCTGAGGCCCCTGTGGGAGTTTCCCGAAGCTCAAGGCAGAGGATTACCCTGTCTGTCCCTTGTTGATTTACATTCGTTGGTCCAGTGTTTTCCTTTACCACACCTTCTGCATACTCCAGAAGGAAGGGGCATTCTGTTGCCAGTGTTCCTTGAAGAAACATTATTTCTAGGAATGACCTGTTTACAATCCCTTTTCAAATGTCCTTGCTTTCCACATCCAAAACATCTAACATTTCTCAAACCTTTTGAAATTGCTTTTCCTACCCACATATCATCATGGTCATAAGCCTCAACATTAACTGTATCTCTAATCCAATCTTCCAAAGGTGCAGATCTTGCCTTTAATGGCCTGATTATTCTTTTGCATGCTGCATTTGCATTCTCAAAGGCCAAATATTCAATTATTATCTGACTAGCCTCTGAATTCGGGACCATTTTCTGTACTGCTGAAGTCAATTTTTGTAAGAAATCTGTGAAAGATTCTTTTGGGCCCTGTATAACCTTTGTAAATGACTCAGTTTTTTTCCTGGTTCTTCAACTCTGTCCCATGCATTCAAAGCTGCCGTTCGACATAGAACTAGGGTTTGGACATCATATAAACATTGTGTTTCTACTGAAGCATATTGGCCTTCTCCAATAAGCTGATCCTGGCAGACTTGTGTTCCACTATCCCTCCATTGTTTTTCTATATTTTTAGCCTCATTATTGAACCACATTTTCCACTGGAGATTTTGTCCGGGTTCAAGAACAGCTTGTGCCCATTCCCACCAGTCCTTTGGTATAATCCTATTACAAGTTGACCAGGTGTTTAACATTTGCTTTACACATGGGGAGTGCATGCCATAAGATGCTATTGCCTCCTTAAATCTTCGTAAGTCTAACATTTTAACTGGAGTCCAAGTATTTTGTTCATTCTCTTCATCAGGTAGCTGCTGTGTGGCTACCGGATAAATTAAGGGTGATTGTGTGAAAACTGGCTTTCTTTCTGTAACCTTATGATCCAATTTTGAAACAACTTCACTATTTATTTCTTCTGTCTGAACTTGAATTTCTCTATAATTCATCTTTACTGGTTTAACAGGTTTTTCTAAGACTGTTATCCTGGCACTTAAGTTGACTATCTTTTTAAATAGTAAAATGAGGATAAGAAAAGTAATAAACTGAATAATTCGATCAATATTAATCTTTTCATATAGTTGTTCCATTGTCAGAGTGTCTAAAATTTCAAACAAAGCCCAATTTTCTTCCAATGTACACATAAAGCCCATTTTTTTTAATGTAGAAAAAAATTCTCTTTTAAATAGATATGTTAATTGACTTACCAAGTCTGGGTAGAACAGTAGAATTCCAGGGAATTTCAAAACAGCCACCTGGTGTTCGAGGTGTGAATCCAGAGAGAGAAAGAGAGAGAGAGATAGAGAGAGAGAGAGAGAGAGAGAGAGAGAGAGAGAGAGCCTTGGCTTTACAGGCAGGGGCCCTATTCGGCAGGGCAGGCCTGAGTTGTTTGTAGCAGTTGCAAGTAGCTCCAGCTGTGGGTTAGTCAGGCCTGGGGCCGGGCTAGGCAGCCAGGGTGCCCAGGCCGAAAACCGGACCTGCCGCCAAGCCAAGCCAAGCCAAGCCAAGTGGTTTTTAATGGATTCTTGTCACGTTGGGCGCCAAATGTAGATGTAACCAACCTTCTTATTAAATAAGAAACACAGAACCAATGCAAAGAAGAAAGCCAAGAGGTCAGAGCTAAGAGCTAAAACCTTACCCTTCCTCCTGTGGTGGTCCTACCTCTCCGAACCAGAGCTACCCCTGTGTTAAAGTCTTTATATAGAGTTCCTGTTCTGCCTTCTCATTGGTTGTAAACCCAACCACATGACTGCCTCCTCATGGCCTGTCTGTATAGGCCTCCAGGTTTTCCATGATTGGTATTGATTAAAGGCATGTGTATCCAATAATGGCTGTATCCCTGAACACACAGAGACTTATCCAGCTCTGCCTACCAAGTGCTGGGATTACAAGAGTATGCCACCACTGCCCTGCTTTCCTATGGCTTGCTAATAGCTCTGACCCCCAGGCAACTTTATTTATTAACATACAAATAACATTTTAATACAAATAAAATATCACCATAGTCTATCCTTTCTTGAAGTTAATAATTTGGATAAAATTCTGTTGATGTATACTATATACTATTACTCTGTTTGCATGTCTCTCTGTATATATTCCTAGGCATTTCTCCTGCTGTGCCGTATTCTATTCTGTAGACACTAGGTTGGAAGGTGTCATTCTCTCTTGATGTTTCCTTTTAAAATCAGTTGGTGACTGCATTTGATATTTACTGACCCATTTCATAGAATGTATCAAGCACACAGAATTATGTAAATATATTCTCAATGATGTGTACATTTGCAATGCAGTCAGTCTCACCATTTCTATTATGTACATATATGGGATACTTTAGGATGCAGTGACCTATAAGGATGTGCATGTGAACTTCACTCCTGAAGAATGGGCTTTGCTGGATCCTTCCCAGAAGAGTCTCTACAAAGATGTGATGCTGGAAACCTACTGGAACCTCACTATTGTAGGTAAGAACGTGAACTTCCTGTCAGTTTTTAACTTAATGGAAGAAGTCTTTCTTGTAGATTGGTGCTCTCCTATAATTTTGAATGTTAAAGAAGAAAAACCTGGTGAATATATCAGGCATTGTTCTAAGGTTCATGAAAGACAGTAATTTTAATTGTTCCTAATTTCCAGTAATATATCACATTTTCTGATACTGTATTTTAGGTTACAAATGAGAGGACCACAATATTGAAGAACATTATCAAAATTCTACAAGACATGGAAGGTAATTTTCACGTGTAAGCTGATATATATGTATGTCTGTGATAAGTACTGGATTCTTGGTTGCTGAGTTCCTCCATCACTGATGCAATAAGTCAAATCAAACCAAATTAATAAATCCAGATTTAATAAACAGAGCATAGCAAAGCGGAGTACTCCAGGGGCTCTCAAGAAGGCATGAGACAGAACAAGAGAGCACCCATGGCAGATCTATGGGCCAGGTCTTAAATAGCCAGTAGGCATGGGCATGGTCCCAGGCATCTCTGGGGCAGGATCTGCCATTGGTGGCTTCCTTGAATGAGGCCCCCTCTGCTGGAGATTCTTAACATCCCAAATTTTTGGGTATATGTGGGTGCAGGTTCAAGTTTGTGTACTTCCTGCTAGCATGGGTCCATGTGGGTTGGGGGGAGTTGGGAGTCAGGTGGGCCCATTTTCAGCAGGGGAATGGATGGAGAAGCATTTGGATAGCTGCCATCCAGGAGACCTCATGCATCTGTTCTTGAGGAGGCAGAGAAAGCAGATTGCTAGGAGAAAAAAGAATAGCTTTTTATCACTGTCCTTATGAACAGGGATAGCCATTGGTAATAGGAAGACTGCCAGAAAGAATGCAACTGAGAAATGTCCTGGTTGTACATAAGAGTCAAGGGTGAATTAGTGAGGTGTGAGGGCAGATATGCCCTTAATTGGGACATCTTGAAAAACAAAGTTTCAGTTGCTGGGTAGGTGTCCACTTGTGCCTGGAGAGGTGGTACCAGCAATGAATTCCCAGGAGCTTTGGGAGATGGCATGCTATATCTTGGGAATATGTTTTCCAGGAGTACTGGGGCCATAGCATCTGCTGTTTTTCTGCATGTTTGGAGAGCATCCATCCTCTCAATGTGTCAATAAGAGTTAAAAGATATGGAGCCTTTTTATGAGCAGGCATGTGGGTGAAATCCACCTGTTAGTATTTGTCCATTTGGCATCCTTGTTTGGTGGTTGGCATCCTCAGAGCTGTTGCAGGAGCTGGTGTATCTGTAGGGCCTCCTGTGGGTTTGGCCTTGGCCCAGGCAGGAGGAGTGAACCTACAGAATATGCTCAAAAATGGGTGGGGTCAAAAATAGGCTTTGGAAACAGAAATTAATTTCCATTAAGTCAGACTTCTTTATAAAGTAGCAGAGCCCTTTTCCCAGGAACCTTCAGGTGTCTGTAAAACTACTGGAACAGATTTACATCTTGGTGTCAGAGTACAAAGCTATGGCTTTGGGTTAAAAGGCATGAATATTTTTAAGTCTAAATTCACTGAAGAAAGGAGGTTGTATGAGTGAAGGAGGAGGGAGTTGAACATGCCTCCAGGGTTCTATATCCTCTCTAATGCTAACCTTGCTCTAAAAGCTGGACCAGTAAAATCAACAGAAATTTAAGGACCCTTGAAAACTGTTTGTAATCAGTGCTTTATCAGTTTGTCAAAACTGCATATATCAAAGCTGAAACTTTGAACCTCTGAAGTTATATCTGAAACCAGTTTATCCTGCACCACAGAGTCTGTGAATGAGGCACACCTGTCTTTATTTTTAACAGGAAATGTACTAATGAGCTACTAAGGTGATTGTAGCCTTGGGATTGGGGGTGCTGTTAAACTGGCAAATGTATTAGTACCCTGGTCATCAAACATCATGAGATCTGAGAAGAATAAGCAAATAAGCAGGAGTGAAGGAGCTTTCCAGTTACCTAGGCAGTCCCAAGTCTCTCTATGGTCACTGGGCGACAAGTCCCAGAGGTAGCACTTATTTAGATGCCAAGCTCAGAGGATCTGACAGATTCTTTGTGGAGTAGAAATTTGGGCAGATCGACCTACCTGTCTTGACAGAGTGGGACAATTGTTCTCCCAATGCTCCACCTATTCATAGTCTGGACATGATCTCAGCAGCAGTTAAAGGTGTAAAGCAGCTTTTCACTGTGTGGCTGACATTCTAGGCAAGGGTCCAGGTGGAAGTTCTTCTGTGGCCATCCATCTTCTTGGAGAAGACACAGGATGCTTCCAGGAGTTGGCATGTCTCTCATAAAAAGCTTTTATATTAAATGCCATATTCTCAGATCTCTGAGTGTTTGAGAATGGGGGAACAAAATCTGTCAGGTATGTCTAAACTAGACAAATGTTGTTTAGGTTTAACTTTGAAGGCATATGTAAGTTAAGTCTAAACATACAGTTTACCCAATTAGTTACAGCTTACCAATGTTAATAAAAGCCAGAAGATTCAGTCTGTAGTTTTCAGTGGTGATCCTAAGATATATCAGGCAAAACCAAGTTTTAACATTGCAAACAATTTGTATTTTAATATCAATGATCAAAACCAGCATTGTTTTAAATCCTGTTTAATAAACCTTGTTTTTAGGACAGGGCAGAAATTATCAAACAGAAATATATCCTAACCCAAATTATATTGGAGACCTAATGTCTCCTTGGTGGGGCCAGTCCAAGTGGTTACCCTTACTAAAGATGGTGGTGAAGTATTTCTTTAAACTCAGTCAAAATGGCAGCTGGTGATGTTCTTTAGAACAGTTTCAATCTGGAGTCATAAGCCTTACAGATTTTAAAACATACCCAATTAGCAAGACACATTCAGGACACGTAAACTCAGGTCTTTCAAAACTAGTCAGAAACACACATGTGTGGCCACACCATTCACACATTTCCACCACACATAAAAAGTAAACAGGATCATTAACAGAAACAATTTTTTTAATGAGGCTCCACTCAGGTTTGGACGCCTGATACCCAGATCCCAAAGAAGTTGCTGCAGAGGGAAACTGAAAAACAGAGTAGCAGCACATGCTGCCCCGTTGAGTAAGTCAGAGCAGCAAGTTGAGAATTTTGGAAAAAGAGATTTTTAGGAGGGAGGAAGGTGTAGCAGAGTGTATTGAAGGAGAACAGGTTTAAGGGTGGAGTGGGCAGGTATAATTTTAGGGGTGGGGAGTATGGGGACAGAGACCTCCCTGGGCTGCAGTGAGGTGGTGGTGGTGGTGGTGGCATCGGTGGTGGAGGTGAGTGGTGGTGGTGGTGGTGGTGTGGTGGTGTGGTGGTGTGGTGGTGGTGGTGGAGGTGGAGGTGAGTGGTGGTGGTGTGGTGGCATCGGTGGTGGAGGTGAGTGGTGGTGGTGGTGGTGGTGTGGTGGTGTGGTGGTGGTGGTGGTGGCGGTGGTGGTGGTGGTGGTGTGGTGTGGTGTCGGCAGCGTCTCTGGTGGGAGGGAGGAAAGAATGAGGGAGCAAACAGTCAGACCAACAGGCTGGAGACTTTTATGCAGTAGTTCAGGGTGTGAGAGCAGACAGGACCAAAGAGAATGGATGTTTAACTGGGAGAATCCCGGTGTGACTGGGTCATATACCAGGAAGGAGAGAGGCAGGCAGACAGACAAACAGAACAGGGGAGGGAGAGGAATAGGGGCATTAGGATCACAGTGCGGCCGAACTACACGCTGGGAACAAGATGCAGAGTAACAAGGAAGAGAGAAGAATGGGGGCAGTATTCTTGCATCCCCAATTTGGAGGAGACACCCCAGAGTTTCTGGGGACAGAAATTGGACTCAGCAAGTACCCATTCACAAGCCATTTGCTGGGGATGTGGTTGTGAGGGCAGGTACACAAATCACATCTGGGAGCTGTGTGTGGGGTGGACTCTGGTGAAGACTCTCTCACACAGGGAATTCCAAGGGCAGCGACTGTCTCTACCCTGAAACAGGCTGGAGTCACCTGGCACTGCAGTGGCTCAGCAGGCAGTCTGGAGTCCTCCTCCTCCTCCTCCTCCTCCTCCTCCTCCTCCTCCTCCTGCTCCTCCTCCTTCTCCTCCTTTTCAGTTTTCAAGATTTTTCAAGACAGGTTTTCTCTGTGTGGTCCTGGCTGTCCTGGCACTCAATCTGTAGACCAGGCTGAACTCCAACTCAAGAGATCCTCTGCCTCCAGAGTGCTGAGATTAAAGGCCTGTGCCACCATCAACCAGCCACACTGCATTTTTAAATCTCTAATGTGATTTCCTGTTATGTTGAGATAAGGTTTCTCTATCTAGTGCTGTAGGCTGTCTTTTATATCAAATAGTTGCAGGGTTTGTTTGTTTTGTTTGTTTGTTTGTATTTAAATCCCTAAACAAATAACAGATAAATAAACAAAGAAATTCAAAATGAAAAAGAACTAGAGGAATCAGAAAAACTGCTGCTGCAGCTACCTTGTCTCAAATAAGGAAGACATCATATTAAAACATTATTGAGTTAACCGAGATTTAAAAAGAAGTTCTATCCCAGCACTCGGGAGGCAGAGCCCGGAGAATCCCTGTGAGTTTTAGACCAGCCTGGTCTACAAAGCGAGTTCCAAGATAGGCTCCAAAGCTACACAGAGAAACCCTGTCTCGAAAAACCAAAAAAAAAAAAAAAAAACCCAAAAAACCAATACATTTAATACATTTATTGTAACTAATGAATATCATAAATATAGTTATTGAATGAAAAAAATTTTAATCACACAATGTTTTAAGTATGTTTACTATTTTGTGTTGGGCCACATCATAGCTATTCTGGGCCCCCAGTTGGATTCTCCTGAATCTGGAAATTTCCCTAGAAAATTAAATGTTGAAGATGAGAATAGAAAAAAAAAAAGAAAAGAAAAGAAAGAAAGAAAAGAAAGAGAAAAACAGCTTCAGATGAGTTTCTACACGAATACTAATTTTTAAAGTATAATAAGAGGAGAAATTCGGCCGGGCGGTGGTGGCGCACGCCTTTAATCCCAGCACTCGGGAGGCAGAGCCAGGCGGATCTCTGTGAGTTCGAGGCCAGCCTGGGCTACCAAGTGAGTTCCAGGAAAGGCGCAAAGCTACACAGAGAAACCCTGTCTTGAAAAAGCAAAAAAAAAAAAAGAGGAGAAATTCTTAACCATTTAAATAAGTGTAATCATCTTATGTTAATAATGATGAAGGAAAGGTGTATAGAATGCAAACAAATGGAGTTTGGCAAAATAAAATGTACAGTGTGTCAAAAA